TTGCACTCCAGAGATTATCCATCTAATCAAATGGCCTGGGAGTGCTGTGATTACAAGCCCATCTAACAGTAATCAATATAGTGGCCACCAGTGAATGGTTGGCGGTTTGTGAAGTATAATCATACGTAGGTCTCATCTGCATAATTCTACTCAGTCAGGACCAGGTTTGATCAGCTCATACTTTTTATGACATGCTAAACAACTGATTATACTCTACGCTTTCTCCCACAAGGCATATTAATTAATTACCCCATGACCCTTCTTAAGTAATTTCTAATTAACTTTGCATTCAAGAGTTCAAGTGAATGTTTCTCAGCTTTGCATAATTATATAACCGCTAATGACATTCTCAAATATTAACCCAGGTCTGTAAAGAGGCACAGGTCTTTCCCCTGACTAACCAACCTTGTTAGGTGTCATTTTCCACATTAAGGTGGAAATAAGCAATGAGAGGAGACAGATTGGCTTCGTGTACCACAGGGAACGTCTCACATCTGTATGACACCAGCCACTCACAAAGAAACAGGCTAATACTCATTTCTTTGTTAAGTAGGGGGTAAAAATCAAGGTGACATCCAATTACTCATGAATTTTTGACAGGCTGTGTTCAATTAAAAGTTGTGAGTTAACAAGATATAGATTTGTATGAACTTTGGTTTTCAAGAAGCCTCCAGTGCCAGTGCTGTCATTGGATATACACTATAATTTAATTCCAGGCCTAATAACTAAAGTAAAAACAGGGGGAAAAAACACTGATGGATCTTAGGCAGTCAACAGTATGATATTTTTGGTCGTAACTGCATTCAATCTAGCTCATTTTATTCATAAAAGGATGTTGTTGTAGAAAGGGCTATTATGAATAGAGAGTGCAGAAATTAGAAATCAAATCCTGTCTGACTTTATTCTTGCCCTGCAATCTATGCAGATTAGACAGGGGCAATTTAGTCGCAGCTGCCATGCTCATTTTCCTGCCATTACACTGGAATGAAGTAAGACATTCCATTATTATTTAGAACAGGAACGGCGGCTAGGGGAAGTTGCTGAAAATGACTGAGATTTTTAATTTTTTTTGGACAGACTTAGTGCGGTCATTACTTCAATCATCTTAGTTTGAATCAATATCAGTAATGATTCATTCTTTTGATTAAGAGGCAACTCCATCTGTAGGTGTCAGGTAATTACTGTGGTGACCTGTAATGAGAATATTTCACAAGACTCCTACTTCCACTATCCCTTTCTGCCTCTATCTACTCTCTCTCACTCTGGCTGCTGTAATTACCTCCTGTTCTGTTGAGAGCTGTCCACAGTTATCAGTCACTGACACTGGACTCGAGGTAGGGCTGCAATGGGGAGAGATGAAGGGTCCTACAGTACCGGATTCACCTGAGCACTTCACAGACCTCATTAGACACATCAGCTGATGCTGAGACAGTGCATCACACAACAACCAGGAAGATGTTATAGCCTTTAGGGAGAAGGGAAAATGCAGGTGATCCCTTACAACAACTTCCAATGAGGAGAACCAAAGTCAGACCTCTTTAGGTGAACCAATTGATAAAGAAGCCATTTTTTTATTCACAATATTCATCATCTCATTTTGCTCTATTTTTAATATTTAGTTATTTATTTGTCTGTCTGTTTGTTTATTTATTTTTAAATAAATAAATAAATAACCCAGTTTTCTTTGAATTCACACTATTCCTTGTCTTTAAAATGGGCTCAGATCTCATTTTGCTCAATTTTTCATTCACTGAATTAATTTTTTTAAAACCCTGAAAAATCTGATAAATATTATTAAAAATATATGTTTTTTGTTTATGTATTTCTTTTTTTATAATGTATTCATTATTTATAACAATGGTGTAATATAATAACAACAACAAATATTACAAATATTTTTTTAAATATAAACAAATTATTATTATCATTATTATCATTACTATCATTATTATCATCATCATCATCATTATTATTATTATTATATAGGGATCCGAGTTCATTTGGAACGTTCATATATAAACGTTAGATTTCTGACTCTCAGACCTCTGAAATGAACCAAGCATAAAAAAGTGTATTAACATTAACAAATGAACACTGCACAGTTATACAATTTACTTTTAAAGTATGAGCATAAATTATTAATCTACACAGCCTGTTTAGATAAGACGGCACAGTATAATTTTCTCAATTAAAATAAAAATATCAAAATTAAAATATCTAAATTTTATTGAAAATTTAAATATCTCAATTTTATTTTAATTAAAAAAATCTCAGCATGGTGAACAAAAACATTTTATGTTTATCAAAAGAGAAACCTAAATGGGAAATGTCACACTTTTACTTACTCCTGATAAGATTCCTTCTATTTTTTTTTTATTTTTTTTTGGGGGGGGGGGGGGCATTTGCCATTTATCTGAGGAAGTGAAACAGCTTTTAACTGTTTTTTTTTTTTCAAGTAGATGATCTTTCATGGATTTGAAATCAGACAACAGAAAGAGCATCAGATCTTGCTGCTCTGATGGCTGGACTCACAGCGGGCCGAGTGACTTCACCTGCTAGTTAAGACAGGAACAGCTCTCATGCTGGGTCGTGTGGGCTTTGTCAGGAAGACTGAGAGAGTTTCTTTGTGAAAAAGGAGTTTCATCTACTGCCTTTAAAGATTTTTGAACTGCAGTTTGGCATTAAGAGCGAAATGGCATTGCTAAAGTGCTCAGCTGTGCTATCAACTGTTCGCAAGGGAAATGGATTTAGTTACATGTGCACCAGAGCAACCTACACATCCGCATTACCATCATCATCCTAAAGAGCTCCGAGGCCTTTGCAACATACCTGTCTGCGAACTCTAACGGCCTTCATATTGGATTTCAGCTTTGATGGAACATCTTCAATTTGACTGAAATTACAGGCAACCAGACTATCATGCTGACTCCCGTACATGAGAGAGAAATGAAGCCAATGGGGCCATCAAATGCATTCCTGAAGAGGAAAACACAGCTTTGTTATGGCTTTCAGACAAAAAGCGTTATTCTCATAACAAGACCCTGTTTAGGAAAAGTCGACATGACAGAAGAAATATAGTTCTGTTGGTGCAGACCAAGAGAAAGCTGCAGGACGTGTGAGCTGTGAAAAACAACGGACCATTTTGTCCACAGAATTTTGCTGAATGTACCTTAAGCCCAAAATGAGCCTATCGCCAAGTCTCTATGATAATCTGCAAGTTTATACGATTTTTCTTCAGTTTTGTTGTCTACCAGGTAAACAATCGTAGGTGTGATCACTTAGAACATCACAAGTTGTGATGCATGATTTAAGGTACCACTCAAGTCCACAGAACAAAAAAAGGAGTTGTATGAGCAATAATAATAGTGATGCTTGCCTAAGCAAGCACCACTTATAAACATGGAGATTTCATAAGAGGCCTAATAACACTGAAAACTGTTTGGGCTTGAGTCTCGCAAAGAACGTACTATCCATTAAAATGCTTTAAACATGACATCTTTCTGTTGTCTCTGAATCTTTTGAAAGGAGTTGGCCATCTAATTAATCGTCTACAGAACACTGAGCATAACATAACCTTCTCTTCCAGACTTCCAAACAGCCCATTTTATGCCCAAATGATCTTGTACAGTGAAGGGCCGCATTAGCATGCAACTTTTTAAATACTTTTGTGTTTTATGAATGCCATTGTAAAGCTCGGCCTACATTGCCTATTAAAGTACTCTTAATGTCCTTGTACTGAGTAACCCAAGTCTCATCTTATCTTAGTAAAGAGCAATGAACAGGAATGGGACCATCATGCTTGAGTTGCATATTCATCTCTAATGAATTCCATATCCCCCACACAAACTTTATATCCTATTAGTGATAAAAACTTACAAAAACGAGAAGGAGGAAAGGAAGAAAGCCCAGATGCAAGATGCCAATTATGATTTTTTTTTTTTTTTTAAGAATAAGATTCTGTTTGACAAATCATAACAGTCCTCTTTAACAAATGTTGTCTGGTAATTTTCATCAGACTGCATCTAATCAATTGATATTAAAGACCACGGTTCGCATGACCATGGGAAAAAAAAAACAAGATCATCTAGAGATTTTCTTAATAAAGATTGCAATAACACAGGCCTTGCCATGTCCCACAGTAATGAGACCCCATTTCCTAGCACACCAATTGCATGTCTAGGGAACAAAAAAAGTAAGGGTTAAAAGAAACGCAAAAAAGAAGAAAAAACAACCTTGTGCTTGATTTTCAGACAAGAATTAGAAGACCGTAACTAGATGCTGCTCCAAGCTTTCCACCAGCCAAATATTTAATATCTGCAACATTTCTGCCAGACATATTTTTAACTATATGAGGTTTCATGTAATAAAGTACTAATTGTACCTTCTCTGCTTTCTGTCTTTGGCATTCTGGAATGGGAAGGAGTTTGCGTTAATTCTGATGTATTACAGCTGTACGTCTGAGCTGTTTTTTAGGACAGCGAAGCATTTTGAAAGCCAAGTTAATCGACGTCTTCCTGGCTTTGCGTGCCAACCATTAATAAACAAGTTGAGCCTGAAAGATCCCTCTGGTCTATCTTGTCAAATAGTTTTCTAATTGAAACCCTTTTTCCTTTGGGCAAAAGTAAAGTTGCAGTACTTCATGGAGGCAAAAATTCACCAGAAACATGGGGCATCTTTGGTGAGTAATTGCTTACACATAAAATTTTAATACCCTGCTTAATTCATAAACATGGCCTGCTATATATACAGTATGCCATGACTGAGATATATTATAGCTGTTTAGCACTTTTTACACAAGCAAATATTTCTCAGAGTTTGTTTATTTTTGAAAGCCAAATTGTGGCTGAACTATTGGCTACACAAAAATGTTCACTGTTATTAAGTAGGAAAAATTATACAGGCCAAGAAAACTTGTTTCTTTGTGGTACCAGGGCCAGCTGGCCAAACCTATTTTTGGAAACCAAAAATGTTAATGGTAATACACACACACATACATAAGCAATCTAGTGGGAACCAGTGGCGGCTCGTGGGTTTTAAAATAGAGGAGGCACACTAATTTTATTGGTCTGGGATCCAGTACTCTGTTTACTATGGAGCTGCAGTACTTACCGCACATTTGACAAGATTAGATGTTTTGTCAGTGGTGCTCAGAATCTACAAATCATTCGCCATTATCCTCAGTCAACTCTCCTAACTCTGTTTATGTGGTAAGTGAAATTGTATGTACTGTAATGTAACAGGCAACCATTAGCAAATGTTATTTGTTTTCCGTGCTTTTCTGAATACGGATTCACACTTCAGGCACACCCCCCACTCGCTGAAAAATAATTGCATTTACTATGTACAGATAAGTGCAACAGTAATATGTATTATGTTTATTGTTCTTTAATTCTAACATTATAACATGAATTGCAGTGAAACTGTTATACAGTTGAATTTATTTATACCATAGTCTCATAATTGAAGTGTAAATTCTGCAGATTACATCATTAAAGCAATAAGCCCCAAGAAGCTGTTTGTTTACAGTGAATTTATAACAGCTAATGGGCGTTGTTAGGCACGGCGCGGTTATAAATTCACTGTAAACCACAGCTTCACGGGGCTTATTGCTTTTTTTAGCGTGCTGGGCGCACAGGGGAGATGATCATTTGCAACACAATCAGGGGGTAGTGCAGCCTGATGTGTGCAACCCACTCGACACGGGAAACCACCACCGCTGAAGCGCCGTCCGCCAACACGAAGAGCTCTCCAAGAGCGTGCTGAACTCGTTCAGTCTTCTCTCCGTAGAGTAGTCAGGAGCGGAACGATGTGATCGCTCGGCTCCGAAGCGAAAAGCTGAATATGCGCTGCACCTGCTGCCTACTTATACTCACGCTGTGATCAGCAGCAGCTGGATGCAATAATCGCATGCCAATGTGCATTGGCTCGTTTAGTTTACACTCGAAGTAGATTGGTCCCTCTAAGCGAGATCCCAATTTCGTCGGTCCTCCGACATGACGCCTCCGTTCCCTCCTTCAGGGAACGAGGGTTACAAACGTAACCGAGACGTTATTCCATATACATAGTTACCTTACATAAAGTATATTATTGTATATATATATTTGTGTGCATTGGCTCGTTTAGTTTACACTCGAAGTAGATTGGTCCCTCTAAGCGAGATCCCAATTTCGTCGGTCCTCCGACATGACGCCTCCGTTCCCTCCTTCAGGGAACGAGGGTTACAAACGTAACCGAGACGTTATTCCATATACATAGTAAGGTTTCACAAAATAAAACAGAGCAAATAAAGTGTAATGACATTAATAACAACATTATTCTTCCACCAAACAATGTAGTTCCTCAGAATCAGCTGTGGGAGCAACAAAGTGGTTGCCGAGTAACACACAACTGTAAACAAAGTTGTATGTTTGTAGAGTAATTTACAACAGCTTCGAACGTGGCTCAGCCAATCAGAATCAAGGACCGGAACTATTCGTTTTATAATGTCCAGGATTCTACTGTCAGCAATTTATAAAAACGTTTTCATAACTGTAACATACATATTTATTTACGTACATAATTATTCAGGTGCATGTGTAATAACTGAGTTAAAATGCTCAGTGAGGTAGAAAACATCTGCTGTAAAGGAAATTCAAAAGACACAGAGTAAAAAAAACAGTGTTTCTTCAACATTGCGAAAACTTGACGCTACAGCAGCACTTCTTCTTCTTCGTCGTCTTGTCTGATGCACTCAACCAAGTGTTCTAAACATGACCTCGCCCCTCCCCACCCCCCAACCATTCAAATTTCCATAGGTTGGAATTATTTTAATGATATTCTAATGGGCCGCTTTGTGACATCACAAAACCCGGAAAACAACGCTGTAGTCCAAACGAGCCGTTCGTTGTTGTTCTTGAAAATTCAGGTGCATGTGTAATAACTGAGTTAAAATGCTCAGTGAGGTAGAAAACATCTGCTGTAAAGGAAATTCAAAAGACACAGAGTAAAAAAAACAGTGTTTCTTCAACATTGCGAAAACTTGACGCTACAGCAGCACTTCTTCTTCTTCGTCGTCTTGTCTGATGCACTCAACCAAGTGTTCTAAACATGACCTCGCCCCTCCCCACCCCCCAACCATTCAAATTTCCATAGGTTGGAATTATTTTAATGATATTCTAATGGGCCGCTTTGTGACATCACAAAACCCGGAAAACAACGCTGTAGTCCAAACGAGCCGTTCGTTGTTGTTCTTGAAAAGGGATTTTTTTTAAACAAAATATCTCCCTTTGGAGTGGACTTTGACATTTGCAACTTTGTAGATCTTTTTATGCCAAACATACACACTACACACTGACTAAAATTCAAAAAGTGAAAAAGCATAATAGGACCCCTTTAAAGGCTAAAATTCACTAGACTTTCACACAACCCATTATTCAAGATATAAAACACTATAGTTGACACTTCTCATCCATGATGGTGGCTCATCCTGACCGAAGCCACTAAACCTCACCACATGCCTCTCCATTTCCAAATCCTAATCAGCGGCCCTGTAATTTCACTAATTAGCCTGTGATCTGTTGACAACTTGACTGGATTATTGGGCGGCTGATGCCTTCTGGTGTCAGAGCATCTGGTGTTGTGTTTGGAGTAATCCACGCTTGTAATCGTTTTCCGTTTGCTAATTAAGAGCAGATAATTGCGGCTTGATTTAGTGTTTTGCTGACTGTTGACAAATTGTTGCAGGCGTGTGCCGATGGTGGCAGCTGTTAGGGGAGGGCGAGAGACGAGATGAGCTTTCATACACAGCCGTCTGTTTTGGAACGGTTCCCTAACACATGCTGTCACTCTAATCGGCGTCTATTAAACTTCACGTTTCACAAATACCATTAAGGGATGTAGCAATTTGTCCATTTCAACATATTTACGCGGGATATTTTTCAACAAGGCATTTCTACATGTGTTGCAGTGACATCGTATTTGCATGATTCTATTATTTGTGCAGTAATTGTTTTGTTTTCCAAGAATTTCCAATATAAAACAATGCAAAGTGTAATTTCGGAGTACACCAGCTGCCCTTGTTTTGAATAGGCCAGCTGAGACCCCTTAGTGTTGACCACTAGGAGACCAACGTGTACGGTCAGATCTGGACACCCTGAGTGTCTCATCCATAATGCACTGGCTCCAATAAAGGTGTCGATTAGATGCTAATTTTAGCAGCTAATTCAAGGCGGTACTCAAATATAGGAGTTTTCATTTGCATAGATATAAAAAAAATTAATAAATCTCTGGATATGTCTGACAACAGGACAAGCCTTAAAGACATCTAATAACAACCTCACGTCATGCTGACTGCCTTCCCAGCGCTCTTATGGAAGTGGCAGGATTGAGATTTTATGATGATATTATACTGATATATGAGTCCAAGACTGAAACCCATGCAAATAATGTGACTTATCTCAGCTCACTTATACGCATACATACAAGCTGTTTATGTGAACCACAAGTAATTAAAAAGAAAATGTAAAAAAAGAAAGGCAGGCATCTCCTTCAACCGCCCTTATCGGCTCAATTTAGATTATTATATATGCCTTTATCCACATTGGATCGAAAGATTTATATTAATACGGTTTTGGTAATTGTTCAAATAGACAAGGGAACTATTCATCTAGCCGTCAAACTACATCATTAAACTGACTGACAGCAGGCGCTGCATCTGAAACGCAAAAGCAAACGAGTGGGGTTTGAACACAAACCAAGGCAGGCCATTAAGTATGCAGAGAGGGCAGTTCATGAGTCCTAATGAAGGGTCAGGCTTTAGGTGGGTCACGGCTGGAGGCAGGTTTTCTATCTCATCACATCACTCCTTTTAACCTTCTATTCTCTTAATGAAACGAACAGAGGAGCTGTCATTGATTAATGATGCTCGACAGAGGCTGGGAAGTATTAGTTTGGAATTTTTAATGGTCTTTATTTCCTCCGGAGCAACGGCTGGTCATTATTTATGAATGTGGCTTCTTTTTTTGATGGACAGACAGATGGGGATGTCATAATTTTATTTGTGTGAAGAACATTTTAATCATCTAAAGAATTGTTTCCACTATAAAGAACCTTTTTGCATTAATTCGTATATATAATGCATTTATGCGCATATATATATATATATATATATATTTATATATACCATTGATATATATTATATACATATATAGCTTTTCTAATATTAAATTACATTTTATCATTTTATTTTATGTTTATTTATACTTGCTCAGAAAGTATTAAAAAGCTTTTAAATCGCTAAAATTTACTAGACTTATGCAACCCATGTTTATTCAAGCTATAAAACACATTATGTGACATTTCTCATCCTGACATCGCTCATCCAGACCGAAGCTACTAATACAGTACTTACCACATAAGTCATATAGGCTTGAAATTACATGAGTGTGAGTAAAAGATGACAGACTTTTCATTTTTGGGGGTGTAAACTATTCCTTTAAGAGAGGGCAGGGTCAGACTGAATAATAGCTTTTTAACTGAAACTGAAGGAATGAGTGAAGTGTTTTATGTACATTGATGTAAAAGGCATACGTGACCAACGTCTATGTATCAGAATTGGGTACTCACTCGTCCACCTCCAGATGACCTCATAGCTGATTAAGAAGTGCTTGCTGATTAGAAGAGTGACTGTGGATGGCCTGAGTGATAAAACAAGCGAAAAAAGAGAAGTTCATTAACTCTTGGTACATTAACAGTGATGAAATGTAAAACAAGCCTCATGAATCCTTCCAGCCAATCAGAGAAGGCGAGAAACGGTGAAGGCGACATGAAGGATGGCCCCATAGAGGGCAGCACCGTGACCTTGCGACTCATTAACTCTTTTGCATGTGCACACAGGAACCAGGGAGTGCTGTAACATGGGGTGAGATGTAATACAATAAGTTTAACCAATTACAAGTGAGCTACGGGGTGAAATTACTATCATACGTGTCTGCCACCTTCCTGATGTGACAGCAGAATGCAAAAATGCAAAGGCAAAATTGACTGATATCATCAGGATGTGTGTGGCAGTGTAAACATATTTATTGAATGTCGAGACT